AAGAAATTAGTAAAGGAAAGAAAAATTTGGATGCTTTTCCTGCAAGAATCGAAGAGATCGACGTTATCAGAATGGGATATTAGATCTTTTTGGGGAAGGGCTCGATTTGAATATATGGAAGTTGGATCACAAGGTAGTGCAGGTGGCATAATTTGTGTTTAGGATCCTGAGTTTTTTCAATTAAAGGAGTGTTAAGGCACCGGGAATTTTCTACTCCTGGCAGGTACTGTATATCATTCTTTTAATTGTGTTTTGATAAATGTATATGCTCCTTCTGATGTCAGTAAAAGGGGGAGGTTGTAGGAAATTATTAAACAGCTTAGAGGCAATTTTCCTAGCCCTTGGTGTCTAGGGGGTGTCTAGGGGGGATTTCAATGAAATCAGACTGATAGTGAGCGTATAAGTGTGTCAAGAAGGGGTAGAGAAATGAGAAATTTCAATGTCTTTATTGATTCTTGTGAGCTCACAAATCTCCCAATGATTGGAAGGAAATTTACATGGTGCAATCCACAGGAGGGTGCAATATGGAGTAGAATTGATAGGTTTTTGTTGGACCTTGAATGGATTGAGAAGTTCAATGTTAAATTGTGGGGGTTGCCAAAACTTGTATCTGATCATTGCCCAATTTTGTTAATGGAAGATAAAAGGGATTGGGGCCCCAAACCATTTAGATTTTTGAATGCTTAGACTATTAATCCTTCCTTTTCTAAAGTGGTAAAGAAGGTGTGGCAAGAGTCACAAATCACTGGGTGTGGTGGGTTTATAATGCTTAAGAAACTCCAACACGTTAAGCAAGCTTTGAAGAGTTGGAACAGTGAAGTGTTTGGAGTTATACCTGTGAAGCTGCAACGTGCTGAGGAGAAATTACATGAATTTGATCTAGTAGCTGAAACCAGAGAGCTATCTAATGTGGAGAAATTAAGTAGAAGGGAAATCAGAGATGAAGTGTGGAAATTGAGTAAGATGCAAGAATGGATTTGGCTTCAGAAATCAAGGTTAAACTGGGCGCACAAAGGGGATAAAAATACTAGATTTTCCCATGTTATGGCGAGTTGCAAGTAGAATAGGAATGTCATTGGCTCTTTAAACTTTGGTGGAATTGTATATGATGAGCCAATCAGAGTCAAACAATAAGTGTTTAATTTTTTCAAGACTCATTTCACTGAAGTATGGTGCTCTAGGCCAAAATTGGTGGGTAGTTTCAAATCTATTGGCAGTTTAGCAGTGGCAGATTCCATCGAGGCAGAATTTTCTGAGACAGAAATTTGGGCTGCAGTGAGAGGTTGTGATGGGAATAAAGCTCCTGGGCCAAATGGGTTTAATATGTTATTTTTTCAGAAATGTTGGAAGGTTGTAAAGAAGGAGGTTCTTCAATTTATGTAGGATTTTCATCGGTATGGTAAACTGGTGGGTGGTATAAACAGCTCTTTTATTACCTTAGTGCCTAAGAAAGATAATCCAATTATTCTTGGGGACTACCGACCTATAAGTTTAATTGGGTCAGTGTATAAGATTCTTTCTAAGGTTTTGGCTAACCGACTAAAGATGGTGATGCCTAGAATAATCAGTGAGGAGCAGTCAGCGTTTGTGGGAGGTAGAAATATTCTCGATGGGGTTTTAATTGCAAATGAAATTGTTGATTGATGGAAGAAAACAAAAAGACGTGGTATTATTCTGAAACTTGATTTCAAAAAGGCTTATGATTCTATTAATTGGTCCTTTTTGCTTTCTATGATGAAGACTTTTTGGTTTTGGAGCAAAGTGGCTGACTTGGGTGCAGAAGTGTATCTCAAATATACGAGTTTTAGTTTTTGTGAATGGTTCCCCTACATCGGAGTTCAGACCATCTCAAGGCCTTAGGCAAGGGGATCCTCTCTCCCCTTTCCTTTTCAATATGGTAGTTAAGGGTCTTAACATTTTGTTGACCAGGGCTAGGGAATTAAATCTTTTCAACGGTGTTGTTCTTGGGGCTAATGAAATTTCTGTGTCCCATCTTCAATTTGCTGATGATTCTATTATTTTTTGTGAGGCAGACTGGGGAGAAGTGGTGAATATCAAGAGGATTCTTCGATGCTTTGAAATGATTTCTGGGCTTCGAATTAATTATCACAAGAGTGTGATTAGTGGTATAGGGGTGCAGAATGATTTGCTCGCTGATTTTGCTGGTAGGTTGAATTGTAAGTGTCAAAAGCTTCCTTTTAAGTACCTTGGGTTGCCTCTTGGGGCTAATCCAGGCAGATTGAAGACTTGGAAGCCTATTGTTGATAGATTTAAAGTTAAGTTGGCTAGCTGGAAAAGAAGGTTCTTATCCCTTCCTGAGAGGCTCACTCTTATCAAGGCAGTTTTATTTAGCCTCCTAATTTACTATCTCTCATTGTTTAAGATGCCTGAAGGAGTTGCTAAAGAGTTAGAAAAGATTCAAACTGCTTTTCTATGGGGTGGGTCTGTGATCAAGAGCAAGCTACACATGGTGAAATGGTCTGAAGTCACTAGGAGTGTCATTAAAGGTGGCTTAGGCATCAAGAGTCTTCGAGATGTTAATGCTTACCTACTACTAAGGTGGTGGTGGAGGTTTGGTAGAGAGGAGAATTTGTTGTGGAAGAAAGTTGTATGTGGAAAATATAACATTCAAGGAAGCAAGTGGTACCCAAATACGGAAGCCTCCCAGAAGCATTCTTGGTTATGGAAGGATATCCTCTCTGTAGCAAATTTCAATCCTGCTCTGCACAGTTTCTTTGTTAGCAATACTTTCATATTGGTTGCTAATGGAGCTAGAACTCTTTTCTGGGAGGATAAGTGGGTGGGTGTTAGATGTCTAAAAGATGAATTTCCTCGACTTTATAGTATCTCCCCTAATAAACTGAAATCAGTTAAACAAGTTATTGAATTAAGGAGGACCCTACATGAGTGGGAGGAATGTTTCAATAGAGTGCTTCGAGCTTGGGAAAAAGAAGAGGTTGCTCGTTTGGTTACCTTGGTTAATAACATTCGTGAGTTGAGAGTTGATAAGGTTGATGTTTTTTGTTAGAGGGCTGGAAATTCTGGATGTTTCAGCATCTCATCTGCTTATAGGTGGTGTGAAAACATTTTGCAAACTCGTGATTATGGTATTATCTCCAAGATGATTTGGCAGAATGTATCTACTCCTAGAGCTAAAGCTTTTGTGTGGCTAGAGTGGAAACAAAGGTTAAAAACTTCTTCTTTCCTTCATCGGATTGGTGTCATTCCTGGTATTAACATCCTATGTGTGTTTTGCAAAGCTGAAGCAGAGTCGGTTAATCATGTTCTATTGTGGTGTCTTTTTGTCTGGAGGGTGTGGGCTGGTATCTTTCTCTGGTGGGGGTCACAATGGGTTATGCCGACTTCAGTGGAAGGAGTATTGTAGTTTTGGGCTGGGTTTACGAGCAACAGATTTGAGAGAAAAGTTTGGAATGTTTTACCTCTTGCTTCCTTGTGGTCTATTTGGAAGCATAGGAATGAGGTGATGTTTTTTTATCTACAACCAGATCTGACTGGTTTATGTGATCTAATTAAAACCAGGGTTCCCTTGTGGGTTAGAGCATCTGATCCTGGGCTGCCTTTCTCGGTCAATGATTTTTTGTTTAACTTGCAACAAATTAAGTTTTGTAGCATAGGAATAGAGTGAATCTGTGCATGATGTTGTTTCTGTTCTTCACTCTGAGTTTTGTTGCTGATGTGTTTTTCTGCTGCTGCTATGTTGTTACTTTTGTTCCTGCTCTTCACTCTGAGTTTTTGTTGCTGGTTTTCTGTTTGTTCTTGGTTGGTGCCTGATGTTTGTCTGGTGTAATTATGGGTGGTGCTGTGTGGTTTTCTTTGTTTTTCTCTGTTTTGGTCGGTTCTTTTGGTTGGTTTCTCACCAACTCATTGTCATGCTAGCAGTTGTTTGGGCTAGCTTATTGGTGCCAATTTTGTTGGGATCAATTTGCTCGCTATAATGCTTTTGCATACAACCCCTTTTATTGATGTAATTGTGTTTACTATCAATAAAGTTCTTTGTTTGCTGATCAAAAAAAAACTTAAAATTATTTTATTATTATTGATTGCCAAGAAAAAAAAGAAAAAAAAATCGAAGTTATGATTACAAGTTGCCCCTTCTGGATAAATTTAATGGCTCCGCAACTGACTACAAATCCTTGATTCAAAAACATAAATCTTGTTTTCCTGAATACTATCATTTCAGAAGATGCAAGCACACAACAAGGCACTTCTCATTTTTCAATATGTTTAAATTTAAAAAACACAGAGCATGTCCAATTACTAATTAGAATTTAGAACAAACATACAAACACTGCAAAGCAGTTCAATCCAATGTACCCAAAAAAAAAAAAAAAAAAACTATGTGGAAACTGTGGACTAGTAAGAATACTAGTATCAAGGTTGTTAAAAACAACATCCTAGGTAGAATTGGTGAGAGAGTCTCATGGATCGGACGTAAAATCGGCTCGATAATTGTAAGATTCTACTTTCTATTAAAAAAAAGGATAAAAATACAAATTAAAATCATACATATTAAAACTAAGGTGAAAACACTGCTGGAAAAACGACTTTTAACGGCGTTTTAAAAACGCCGCTATATGTCTGAAAAACGCTGCTAATTCCTTTAGTGATGCTTACCACCAAACGCCGAGGACGCGGCCATCGCTGGAAGTTTATGACGCTTTAAAAACGTCGTAAAATTAGTATAGGAGGCGTTTATACAAACGCCACTAAATGTGGCAGCCAATGGTCACATGACGTCACACAGGCATTCAGCGACACTTCAAAAACGTTGAAATAACTTTTTTTATTATTTTTTAAAAATAACTATAGTGGCGTTTTGAAAAACGTCACAATAGATTTTTTTTTTTTTTTTTTTTTTGGAACTACTAATTTTGTGAGATTTAACTTTAAAAATATACCTGTAAAATAGCAATAATGAATAAAACTTTGTATAGACATATTTCTGTGAGATTATTATTCCCTCACATCTATAATAGTATCCAATACAACATCCTTCAAGAAAAAAAATTCAATAAGTTCAATCCCAACAAACCAAGCAGCCATCTCATGCACAGTTTCACATCATCCAACAACATTCTAATATAGAAGGCAATTAGAATTGTCTTAAAACACAAATTGACTCTCTCTCCTGAAGAATATAAGTTCCAAAATAAAGCAGTAGAAAAATAATTGTGACATGCAAACTCTTGATCCCTCAGGTTCCTCCTGCAGAAACATTCTCGTACCAACACCCACAAAGAAGGCTAAGAACAAAGTCAAAGATAAAACATAAAAGATTAGAAAGAGAATTTTAATACTCACCCATAAACCATGTGAGGAATAAGATCATTACGGATTGCGTTTGAATCTGCTATCAGGTCAAACCGATCCTAAAGTCCAACCATGAAATAAAAGAACTTATTAGTGCTCTTGTGACAATATTTGTTTCATGTTCAAGACAGTGAAACATCAACTAAAATCATGGAAGGCCTAGAAAAACAGCAGCTGCCAATTGTCCCCAACACTCAGTTGATAAGTGAAAATCTCAATGGCCGAAATCCAAAAATTAATGACAACAAGCAAAACAAATTTACATGGTGTAATAGTAGTTTCAGAAAATGACTCCACTTTAACATATAAGAAATAACAGGGAATAAGTACACCGTAAAAGAAATTAGTGGAGAGCGGTTTGAATGCATTACTTAAGAAATGGATAAAGATAAACAAGGTACTGGATATTATTAATATTATTTTTCCAATATTATTAATATATTTGCCACTAACAATGTTCTAATACTAAGTCTTATGCTCTGTTTTTTAAGCATTTTTTTTTTTTCCTAGAAAACATTTTTTGATGTTTGGTATCGGAAAATGTATTTCGTGATCAACGGAAAACAAGCTTCTTTGGTGGAAAACATTTTTCAAATTTGAAAGGTGAAAAATATTTTCAAGACTAAAGTCTTGCCAACACCACCCACCACTAATAGAACCACTAGCACATTAGTTTTAACATCACAACCAAACATATAATTTTTTGAAGAACGTTATTTTTTTCGGAAACAAACACAGTTATGTTCTAAGTTCTTGGATTCTGATGTTCAAAAAAATAAAAAACTCTTAGTTAGTTGTTCTTTTAAAGCAACTGAAAATAATACACAAGTGTTATGATAGAACAAACGAAAATGAGATATACGTAGTTCATCTACAACCCTAAGTCCACGAGCAAAGAATGGGGGTTTCAAGAGCAGCTGCCTCACTCTCAAAGCTGTTTGTAAGAAAAACTCACTCCAATCTCATACCCCTAATCCCCATAATAACAGATAATATATACTAAGATCAGAATACAGCAAGAAACGGTTCAGACCTAACAGATTAATCAGGTCGTGCAGGTTGCAAATGGGGCATAAACACAATCCGGGTAGAATATGATATACCCACAATGATAAATAATCAGGCCGAAAGGATAATTATGTTACATTTGATAATGATGTGTGTCTCATTTTGTGAGACTGCAACTCAATGTTTCAGGTGCCATCTGATTTGCATACTTCTTGCAACTAAGAACAAGAGACTGAGTAATAATGACCAAGTGTTTTATGTGTTTGGGCAAAACTACTATATTTTAAGGATGATTTTTGGCTGACAAATGAGAAAATTTGACCTTCTCAGATAAGAATGTCCCCAGTAAAGAACCTCCCAAAACAGCCAGCTGCATGAAATAATTTTTAATGGATCAGATCTATCAATGTAAACATCAGCTCGTTGAAACCCAAAAAAAAAAGAATGAGAACTAAATAATCACATTACCAAGTCTGACAAAACTTAAAATTTTAAACTATATATGGTTAATTATATTTAGACTGTCATTATTAAACCTTGCCAACATAGCCTAATCGCAGGCCACCAAAGTCACCGAAATCGAAAAATTAAGAGAAAAACATGTATTTTATTTCTTTAACCAAAAAACTTGTAATTTGCACATGTTGCCAAATCACTCTTTTATCTTCCAGACCCAAAAGCATGTTTCAAAACTAAAGTATTTCTGCTTCTTTGCCAAAAAATTCTGCAAGTTGATTTTTCAGTTATGAAAGGAACTTGCTGTGTTGCTGATGCAAAGATGAGTTTAAATTTTTCTTGAAGTTTAGAAGTTCCAAAGTTGCAACTCTGTGACCAGCTAGTAGATTTTACAAAAACATGGATCCATTTCTTGTTTCTTAGATTAGCTACCTTCCAACATGTTTAGTAGATTTTTTTAAAAACACATAGAAGGGGCAACCATAGATCCATTTCTTGTTTCTTAGATTAGCTACCTTCCAACATGGTAGCTACCTTCCAACATGGGAACACCCATAGAAAAACATGAGAGCAAGAGAGATGGCAAGGAACTTCAGAATCCCTATTGCAAGGGAGTTGGGAGTTGGGTGAGAAAAAAAGAAGTGAAGAAGGTATTTACAATAGTCTACGGAAAACAGGAAGGTATGAGGGAACAAAAATGACAACTATGCAAATAACTATAAATAAACAATAAAGAACACCCAGAACAAGAATATAATAAACCTAGTCAAACTACAATATTAAATAATACCTCTGTATCAGTCCCAAAATAGAATTGAATTAAGAATGAGTTGTCTGCAAAGTATTTTAAAAATCTTTGAAACGACGTTTTTGAAAAAACGCCATAACAAAAACGTCGTTATAGGCCAATTTTCTTGTAGTGAAAATCACAAAATTTACGATCATACTTATGATCCTATCTACGATTCTATACGATCACGGGCGATTCCATACAATACTACTTGCGATCCTATTATAATATCGATCCTACAACGATATAGATCATTTTAGCAATGTAGGATTGTAGGATCATACGATCCTATGATCCAAATTACAATTTTAATAACCATGACTAGTATAAGAAAAAAGAGAGCAGTAAGAATACATCCCACCCTGTCACTACTTACAGTGTCAATCTTATTGCTGTTGTCAATGACATCATTCATCGGCATAGATTTTTTAACGATACATTTCATCCTGTCACGACTTACAGTGTCAATCTTCCTCACCATTTTATCGTGGTTGTCAACAACTTCATTCATTGGCATAGAACTTTTAACGATAAATTTCACCCTGTCACCACTTACAGTGTCAATCTTCTCCACCATTTTATCGTCGTCGTCAACGACATCATTCATCGGCATAGAATTTTTAATGATACATTTCATCCTGTCATCACTTACAGTGTCAATCTTCCTCATCATTTTATCGTGGTCATCAACGACATCATTCATCGGCATAGAACTTTCAACGACACATTTCACCCTGTCACCACTTACAATGTCAATCTTCCTCACCATTTTATTGTGGTCTTCAACAACATCATTCACCGGTAGAGAACTTTTAACAATACATTCCACCATGTCACCACTTACAGTGCCAATCTTCCGCACCATTTTATTGTGGTCGTCAATGACATCATTCATTGGCATAAAACTTTTAACAATACATTTCACCCTGTCACCACTTACAGTGTCAATCTTCTTCACCATTTGATTGTTGTGGTCAATGACATTATTCTTCGGCAAATAACTTTTCTTGAGAGTGAATTTGAAAGTGAAACAGAGTTTGAGAGGGAATGGCTTGTTGCAGTTGATATCACCACCTCTCTTGTTATGGTATCCTGGGTAGTTCCCCTTTTCAAACTCCACTTTCTCTTTCAAATAAAAGCCAGCTTTTGAAGCTAGCTTTTCCAAACCCCATGTGTTGTAAGGATAGTCGTCCCTGTGTGTGACATGCACTTCACCACCTTCCTCCAGCAAATCTCTTGCATTCTCAAAAAAAGCAGTCAAAAGCTCCCTGTGCATCCTGTCTCTCAATGATACACCCAAATCATGTTTTTTTTAATTATTTATAAACAGAATTCTATAAAAAATAAATAAATAAATAAAAACCTGAAACTCAACTTGATTGATAGCCACATTTATAAAATTTTGAGTCATATTGATGGGTGTTTTAGCTGGAGTACTTCAACTGCCAGACATCAATTTTTTTATTTTTTTTATTTTTTTGAACTAAGCCAAACATCATTTGTCACTAAATTTTGATGAAAAAATTTTTACAATAAAAATTATTTTGATAAAAAAATATTTGGGAAAATTACCTCTCAGTTATAATTTGAGAAATTATTACATATGAAAGGAAAATTTTATAATTTTAATTATTAATATTGATAAAAATTTATCACTAATTTGTATTTATTTTTCAAATTTTATACTAAGCTGAAATTCTCCCAAAATATTTTCCTAAGAGTGATTATGATATTAAAACTAATATACTAATGATTATAACTTTTCTTAATGATGGTGGTGGTCGTGATAGTATTTATTTGTGGTGGTGATGCTGGTGGTGGAAGTGGAAAAAAGTGGTGAAAAAGATGGAGGTGGAAACAGTTGTGGCAATGTGGTAGCATAAATAAGACTTAATTTAGAAAATATTTTTTACCTTTTGAAAGTAAAAAAATATTTTTGTACCAAATAATTTTTTTATTATTGACTAAAAAATGGCATTCCAATGAATTTCAGTGTTTTTAGTTCAAAAATAAATAAATTTCATTTTTCAGTGTACATAACATTAGTAGATAGTTGAAAAAAAACTCACTACACTTAGGCTCCATTTATTTTGACATAAAATATTTTTGTCAAAAATATTTTATTTATTTTTTGTTGTTTTGTTGAATAAAAAGCAAGTAAAACATTTTTTAAAGAAAATATTTTTGCATAATTTTCCCAACAATAACTTACCTTTAAAATTTTTGTAAGTCGATTTTTACAAAGTTAGCTCTCACTCACTACCTTTTCATTCAAATAAATATTTTAGCTCACTAAAAAGTCATAAATGACACTTTATTGAATTAAAATTTCTCTTTTAGACAATAAAATATTTTTGTTTCAAGTGTTAATCAAATGCCAAAAAACAAAAACAAAATATTTTTTTTTTGTAAAATCAATTTATAAGAAAAATATTTTTTGTATAATATATTTTTCGTCGAAACAAATGAAACCTTACCCAATAAGCTCTTCATCTCTTTCACAAAAGCCATGAAAATGGCCTGCATGAGGAAAATTAAATATTACAACATCAAATTTCATGCGACTTAGTGTGGGATGGTTGCCCATCTCATACACACCCACTTCATGCAAAATTAGGCATCCTAATCTCTCTAATGTCTGCAATTCTGCTTCACTTGTCCAGTGTTTCACCTTTAACAACTCTGCATAAAAACCAAATGTTAGGTCCCTTAGTGTTGCCAATTCCGTGAACAAACATAGTACATCGAGTTGTAAAGTTTCCTGGAAATTTGGCTTGCTCGCTCAAGCGAAGGAAGTTTGGTTCAAGCAAAGAAACCTTGGTCCCAGTAGTTTTCACGGTCTACAAAAATACTGAGAAGGGTTATTGCGCACATGAGCGAACCTTTTGGTAGCTCGAGCGAAAACACTTAAGGCAAAACACGCATATTAGTCTAATCGCTTGAGCGACAGTTTTTGCGCTTAAGCGACCATCGCGACTCTATTTGCTATAAAGCTGAGTTTCAATCAGATTTACAACTTCCCGATCATATTTTTGGGAATTAGGGTTTTCTTCTAAAGTATTTTTGCTAGTTTCTTCGATGTTTGTTTGAGTTTAATTCATGGTTTGATAAGTACACATCAAAGGAGTGTTTGATTCTTTAATACAAGAGTGTTCTTCTTCGGTGGATTCTGGAGGTTCAACTGTGAAGTCTTTGAAAGAGTTCGAAGCTGCTCGTAGTCGTTGATTCGATATGGATGTTGTGGATTCGACATCAAGCTGCTCAATTTCAAGACGAAGGCATTGGTGAAAGAGACATAGATTGTTGAAAACAAGTTTATAGAGGTTGGGTAAATTGTTTGGTAATTTTGTGTTCTTTCTTTCTTCATAGCGGATTGATTAGTGATGTTTCGCCATGATTTTTTATCACAATTGGAGGTGCTCCAACTGTGATTTTTTTCACGTAAAAATCGTTTGTGTCGATTTATTATTTGTAAAATAACAATTTAAATCACTTTCGTACATGCTAGATGATTTAGTTTGTTAATTTTGGTTGCTTGGGTATTGTTGTAATTAAATCTATCACAAATCACGAAAGTTTTGCACCAAAATATAACACAAAAAAAAATATTAAATGCATATATAGATGTCCTCATTGTGTTTTTAGCTCAAAAATGAAAAACTTTTTTCTTATTGATTAAAAAAATCTAATGTCACATCAAAAAAATTTATTAAAAGAGCTAATAAAAATTTGTCCAGTACTACAAGGAATTAGGGATTTAGAGACTAATTTTTAGGCATCAATTGAATTTTGTCCCTAAAAACAATCTTTTAGGAACAAATTATTACCGACGAAATATTTAGTTTTGAAAATTCAAACATTTAGGCACGGAAGGAAAATCATCACTAATTCTCAGTTTTAGTGACGTTACAAAAAAAATTGTCACAAAAAGGTTAATTTGACTTTTCTGGGACAAGGCTTTCCTTACCATTCTAGCAAAGATTTTAATTTTGGCACTAAATGTAATTGGAGGCAAAAATACTAGTATTAGGAATGAAATCAATTGGTCGGTAAAAGTGTTATATGTTGTAGTGATATATTAAAAATTAGCCAAAGTGCATGTAAGATAACCACAAACATCCAATTTTTAAAAAAGAAAAATTGACTAACACTTTATGTATTTGTTGTTCGCAACACATAAAAATTGAAATTTTGATAAAATATTGAAGGGATATAAAGCATCCAAAATTATAACCATATTAAACAAAATTTTATCTCTCATTGGACTCACCTTGAGAATGAAGAGAAGTTGCAACCATGTTAACAGCAGAGCCAAAAGCTCTAGCTAAACATGCTGAAAATGAGAAGTCACCTTCACCAACCAGTAGTATCTTCTGCCCATTGTTGTAGTGTTGTATCCATCTCACTCTCTCCTTCCTCCTCCTCCTCCTCCTCCTCCTACTACTACTACTACTACTCATCTCACTCTCTCTGATGAATGGGTTGGTTCCATGGTACTCATCTATAACCATAATATAAAAGCGCGAAAAATAGCGTGAGTCTAACGCTGGAAATATCCTCACCATCAAGTATAAGGACCTGGTTGACCAAAGTGCCCTCATGCTTCTACTTTAATTGTGAAGACTCTTGCGGTTTTCTACTTTTTGACTTACCAAAATGCCCTCATACGCTTTAGTTTGTTGCTTAATGACTGTTTGTCATCGGCACAACACGGCCACAATTGCATTTCCAAGAGTTGCGCCTATTAAAAGAATGAAGTTGAAGCATGTTTTCCAGTAGTCACGCCCCTAGACCATGTGTTTCATTCATATTATTCTTATTTTCATTGAAAATAATATTTAAAACAAACATTATTGAAGAATTTATCTTGCTCTCTCTTCCTCCCATGTTTTGTGATCGCTGGATATGATTTCAATGATAGTGATTGATGTCAAGGCAAATCAAAAGCTAAAGCAATAGGCAAATCAAAAGTTAAAGCAAAAGGAAAAGCATGTTAGGTAAAAAGAAAAAGCTAAAGCAAAAGGACAATTAAAAGAAATATCTAAACGAACTACCTTGGCCATTGATGGTAAAGTTACACTAATTTCACTGAATCTTGTCAGTAAAATTGCACTATCCAATGATAGAAAATTCAGTGCTTTTTTTTTATTTTATATTTTTCTGAAAATTTCAAATTCTTTTGTTGAATAGATCTCGACTAGAAAATTCAAAAAATATAATTTTTACGAAAAATAAAGTTATATATGTGATGTTCCTAAATTTATAATCCATTTTATATTCAAAACCTTTAAATATCCTCCAATTTACCATTATTACCATCAAATTCACAAGAAAATATAAATTGAGAATATTGTCTTTTAGTCAAAAATAATCTTTTTCTCATTGAGTTATTTCAAGTAAATTGTACACATTCGAGTGTAATAACAGTTTAAATAAGAGTAAGAGAATACGGAGGTAAAGTTCCCCAATGACATACACATTTCAAGGACAATCCCTTGATAGCACAAAAGGTGGAAGTTCAGCCCCAAAAACGCACTAGCTCCAGAGCTTCAACACATAACATCATTGCGCTTATGTGCTCCAATCGAAAGTCTCCATCATCTTGTCACTTAGGGCATAGTCATACTATCAAATCCTTTAAAAAAATATTTTAAAAAAAAAAATTATATAACAAAATTAACAGGAAAAATAAAATCCTTAACTACTCTCTTATACAATAATAAAATTACTTGAATTATTAATTAAAATATATTTATGATATTATTAAAAATATTAATTGACTCAATAATTTATTAATAAAAATAATTAATTGTTATGCAATTAAAAATTTAAAGGGACAAGATGTAATTTTTAAAATTTTAAGAAACAATTTATATTTTAAACAAATATAAAAAAATGTATTTATAATTTATCCAAAAATTTTATAATGACAAGTCATGACAACAATGCTGGGGACTTCCAGTAGGGGGTGACCCCCAGCCCCCCACCCCTACGTGGGGGGTTGCAAGTGGAAGACAAAAAAAAATATATAGACCAATCAAAAAATAGTGGGGGTGGTGGGGTCTGGACCATTTTCCCAAGTCATAATTGCATTAGTATTAGCAACATACATAAATGAGTACTAGGAATCCCAAATGTTTTACGAAAACTTTTATTAAATATCTCACATGAATGTAGAATCAATATAAAACCTATATGATATGAGTTCTATACCTGATGGAACAATCTTCTGTGAATAATAAAAAAAATTGAAACAAATCAAACAAATAAAATAAATTACGTACCAAATTTATTTTTACCGAACCGAATGAATATTTAAAAGATCAAGTCGAGTGTGTGACACTCTGTTCTTAAGAAAAATTCACCTCACTATGGTGCTTACGGACAAATAGCGTCTATCTCCCAGGATACAATGATCTTCACAAATTTGTAGTAGCACTCTAAACAAATTTGTCCGGCGAACTAGAACATGTGTTCTATACTCTCTAGATTTTTTCCTAAAAATTATATGAAGAATAATAGATGCAAGAGAGCAAAAGGAAGGCAACAAAAATTAATTTTTGGAATACTAAAATGTTGGAATAGATCTAGTATTTATAGGCAAAATACACTGTCCGAACAGGTGCAGTAAAGAGCCGAACAGGTATGAACCTATTTTCAAACAGATCTACAGCCAATTTTTTTGAATCTGTTCGGCAGTTGTGGATCTATAACTGCTGGGTAGTTATTTGGCAGTTTCAAACAGTTGACTCTGTTGGAAATTTCGGACTGAGAGAGGTAAATTTGGACAGAACATTTTTAAATTCAATTTTGGCACCAAATTTGAATTTAATTTCATTATGTTTTTTTAGAAAAAAAAATTCAAATGAATTTTGTCCAAAAAATTAATATTAGAACCGACCTACACTCGCGCTTGGCTGGGCCGGTCGGACGGCGGCGGCACGCGCGTGTTGTGGTTTTGGCTAAGGTTCAATTTGTCCATAACTCCTCCCTTCTACAAACTTGGGATACTCCTTAGGGCTAACCTAAGTTAGTACACCAAATGCTTATATACCCACAAAACCTCTCTTAAAGTTTCAATGTGAGACAATCCATTTCAAGGAGACTCACATTTACTTCTTTAATTATCCATTCCACGAACCCGAAAACGACGTCAACTTCCTATTCACTCATAAATGGTTTTGACTAACCGTCTCCACCGTATGACTTGCCATGCGGCAAGGAACACGTCACCTTTTCAGACCCACCTCAAAAGGCGTTTAGGGCCCACTCAATTTTGGGCTCAAAATTGACCGAAAATAAGCCTTATAAAACCAAAATTTTCCAACAATACCTATATAAAATATTTTGATATAAGTATTGGTAAAAGTCTTTAGCATTTTCCTATATAAATAGTAAGAGAATAGTATCCTTTTCACGACCATCACATGAATCAAATGGTTTACAGACAGACCTTAATTTGGTCAAAAAAAAGACAGACCTTAATTTTTTTTCTTTTGTGTGCCTCAGGTGATTATTTCCCCCGTCATAGTCATCGGAAACAAACAACCTTCGTTCCCTATCCTCCTCTTTCCACTACCGCCAACAATGATCCTTCTTCATTTCCACAGCTGCTCTGGTTCTTTACCATCCATTTCTATTGTTGCCATCACCATGGAGCTAGGAAAAAATTATGAGTGGCCATGGCTCTTGTTTCTGTGAAATACTATTGTCATAATACTTTAAAATATATATATTATTCTTTTGCATTCTTTTCTTGTTTTGCACCCAAAAAAGCTTCTTTATCGTATGAGACATTATTTCCATAGTATTTATCTATATATATATATATATATATGTAATTTATATATCATATTGTATGTATGTGTGTGCATGTATATATAGTAAAAAAAAATTATTCGCCCTTTCACCCCTTTAGTAATAAAATCCTAATTCCGTCCTGGCCATCACTCTCCAACATCACCACCTCAAAGTTTTATTTTCACCAACATTTTTTTTTTTAATGGATAAAACCAAACCAAGCCTTAAGTCTCATCAACATGAATCCTTCTTCTCCACGCGGCTATATCAAAAGTCATTTTGTTAATCAAATTAAGTAGATCCATATCTCTATTTACAACACTAGCCAACGTTATTCTAGGCCTACCCCGTTCCCTAACACTCTCATCTACCGTTACAGCATTGCATCTCTTCACTACTACCTCTGTTAGTCTCCGTTGAATGTGACCAAACCATCTCAATCAATTCTCTCTCAACTTATCTTCTATCAGTACTACTCATACCCATTCCTGAATACACTTATTCATAATTCTCTCTTGTCTAGTCTTGCCACACATCCACCTTAGCATCCTCATCTCAGCCACACTCAGCTTATCTACATATTGTTTCTTGGTTTCCCAGCACTCCTTCCCATACAACATCGCTAGTCTAATAGTCGTTCTATAGAACTTACCTTTTAGTCTAGTAGGTATTCGTTTATCGCACAGTACCACAGACACACTTCTCTACTTACACCATCTCGCCTTAATTCCATGGGCCACATCCACATCAATCTTCCCGCTGTTGTGATAATCGACCCTAAATAACAAAATTTTTGCTCTTAGATAGTTTTTGGTTCTCAATCTTCACTTCTCCTCTGCTTTCATTATTATTGTTACTAAATTTACACTCTATGTATTCTATCTTAGTTCTGTTTATCCGAAATCCTTTAGATTCAAGAGCTTTTCTCCGAATCTCCAACTTTGTGTTAACTCCTTCTCTAGTCTTATCCACTAACACAATATTGTCTGCAAAAAGCATACACCATGGAACGTCATCTTGAATATTTATCGTCAACTCATCCATAACTAAAGCAAAAAGATAAAGACTTACGGTAGATCCTTGGTGTAATCCTATAATGATAGGAAATTTATTTGTCTCTTCAATAGACGATCTAATAGTGGTCACCACGTCTTCATACATGTCCCTAATCACATCAATGTAATATTTTGTCACCTCTTTCTTCTCTAACACCCACCATATTATATCCCGAGGTACTCTATCATATGCTTTCTCAAGGTCGATAAACACCATATGAATGTCTCTTTTCTTTTCTCTATATTTTTTTATTACTCTCCTCAAAAGATAAATCACTTTCATTGTTGACCTGCCAAGCATAAACCCAAATTGATTCTTTGACACCTCTGTTATATCTCGTAATGTTCTATTTTGTCTCTCTAAAATTTCCTTCTCATTGGATTTGGCCTTTAGCTTATTAGGAAACATAGGAAATGTTTGGGACCCTTTTTGGGGATGACCTCATACCTCTTGGAGATGACCTCACACCCTTAAAATGATCCTGACCCTCCATGTATGTATAGGTCACTCATGTATGTGTGAAATCTACATCATAAGTGATTCAGATTTGTAGAAGTCTTGTGGGGGTGGGGTCTCAATCACTACTTAGGAAACATACCCAGAAGAACCTTATCATCCAAATCACAACAATCAGTCTCATTCCTTTAACTTCACTATCCTTTCCAAACTCCTCTCTGTTTGTCATCCCATGTAAACTGTGATAACCTCGTCCTATGCTATGTTAATTAGTCATTATTATGTTTGTAATTATGTGCTTAATTTGAATTTTGGTGTTAATTGCATAATTACATGTGATTTTGGCTTTGTATCTGTTCACCGTAGGAAAATCTGTTACTATAACAAAATGGTACTTTAATGACAAAATCATTTCGTCTCCAATAGTGAAATTTTCGTCACCAAATTGATCTATGACAAAATAATTTCGGCACCACGTTTGTCATCAATTCGTCGTCACTAAAAGTACCTGATGACGAAAATTTATTTTGTCACCTATTATTGGTA